GGCAGCCATCATTGTTTCTCTCAGACCATCCTATGCAGAGCTCCATGTGCACACAGCAAGAGGCCCTTGTTATGTGGCAGTTTCCCCACCCACAAGTGTTAAGAGACTGAGATGGTGATGGTATTGATGGTGGCGATAACTGCCGGGCCTCAGTTCATGGCTAGTACTCGCTGCCCCTCTGGTTTACACTGTAGTGCTACCTTTTAAGTCAGTGAATTAGGAGTATTTATGATTGTGAATAAGGGAAAAGCTAGCAACACCACAAAGAAGCTGCTGTGGGGTTTTTTTTTCTTCTTTCGTTTTTTTTTTTCGGCCTTCTTTGCATGGCCATTCCCTTGGTGTGTAAAAGTGAGCTTTTACGCTGATCACAATGAGAATGGAACACTTGCTCTACCTCTTATTCCTTCACTCTATTTGCCACCTCTTCACTGGGTGGGAATGACAAACTTGAACTACGGACAGACAAAAAAAATTAATAAATAAATGCTTTATTGTTCAGTAACTAACTTTCATGTCATTATTCCTGCATGTGTACCAATAAAAGCTTCCAAGGGTAATGCAGGCATTACGGTACAGCTCTGAAGTTTAAAGTTAGAAAGTTGTTTGGAGTGACATTTAATCAAACAGTGTGTCAAAGATGGACACGGACTACAACTTTTTGCCTTAAACTTAAATTCCATACAATTGCCATCAGTGAGCAACTGGTTTACAAAACACAAGATTCTTTATCTACAAGGAAAATGCTGCTCACTTGATTGGCGATGTCAAGCATTTAACGAGTTTAAGGTTTCACTCGGTAATTTAAAGTAATGGAAAAGCAAAAGTTGTCCATTTGTAAATTTGGTCTTGGCTAAAGTCAAGGCTTCAAAAAGAGTCCAGTCAAGAGTTTTGTTGGGTTTTTGTTTGTTTGTTTTCCAGTATTGTCTCTTTTTAGATCTGTCTTCCAGTACACTGTACACTTTAATTGGCCTGTATGATCCACAAGCATCTAAATTTTTACTTGCATGTTAGTAAGAATTCCACTTTAGACACTTGTTTGTGCAGCCATGCACTCTTGCATGAGATAAAGAAGCCGACTGATGCAATTGTCACCAAGACGTCCGTCCTGCACTGTATGCTGTAAAGTGCAGGATATAATTTAATTGAGGCAAGCGAGACAACTGCATACATCTATTGTTAAGTGTTTTTGCTCAGAGGAAAAAATTCAATCACCTCTGACTCTGCTTAAACGTCTCTTGCGTCCTAGTGTGGGCAGTTTTCAGTTGAGAACATTGCATTTTGCTCTTGAAGTATGCCTGTGGCAGTAACACCGCAGTTACTGCTTGTGTAAACGTCCTTATGTAATTACACTGACGTGAATGCACATTTTTGGGAAGGCAGTAACCCTTAATGGGTGCGTGATGAACAGGATTCCTTCATTTTGTAGACTCTTTCTGATTGCTTTAAAAGAAAAAAAACACGAGTGTCAACAGTGCAGTTCAACAAAAGCTTACTTTGAGCAGCCTATTCTGCCTCTAGTGTGTCAGGCAGAGGCCTATGATTTCACGCCAGGACGAGAAAACTCAATGCCAGTAGACTGCAGGCAGTGGTCCAGTGTTGTGCAGTAGAGGGGGATTGTCAGCCAAGCTAAAGACGCGCTTTTTAAGAAAGTACTCTTTTGATGATGGCTTACATAATGCTACACAAAAGATTGTCGTGTGAAGGGGGAAAACAGCTAACATCTGCTTGAATTAGTGTCCCAGCTCAGCCTAAAGTGCACTGTGATGGAGAAGTTAAGATGCCAAAACAGGTTATGACATAATCCTAACTTATAGGCATTAATTAGGAAAAAGCTATGGTTTTTATTTTTAATAGTCCACCTCATTCTGGATATTTCTGCTGTGGTTTCAAGTGACTATCGCATATTTCTGACTATCTTAGCACGTCATCAATCAGCAGGCAGATGTTGGGGTCTGTGTTGATATTCTTTTTTCTGTTCAACCTTTACTATCTCATTTCAAATTCTCAGATAGGTCTCATTTAACAAATAAGCACTAGTGGATTAAACTTATGCCTATTTTTTGCCTGGTGTAGTAAAGTTTGGGAACTCTTGCTGTTGCCCCAAGGGTCCCGCAGATGGACAGAAGAGTGCCAGACAAGACAAAGTATGTGCACTCCATTTTGGAACTGTTTTCTTAATCTTATGCCAGATCTCACGATCTCCTGACCTGCCTGCGTCCTTCAGATCGAAGTTCGAGTGGAATGTTTTTTTTCCAAGCCATTAAACAACTCATTAGTGTGTCTCACATACGCATACTCTTACACATACAATCACGGCACCCACTGATAACTCTGTTTGCTAATTATCATAATTAGTCGGTGTAATGAAAACTGTGAGAAAGATCGGCGTCGAGCCACTCTGAATCGGTAGCCTTCTCTTTCTCTACTCCTTGCCAGGGAAAATGTGGCCATTATCGTGCCCTTTGAGGGCAGATGCACAAGAGGCAGATGACATGGTGTATGTTTCCCTTTGACGGGCATAACACAGCGTGGCCTGTGGTGGGAAGTTAGAATAGGGTCATTTTACTGAGACTGGTGAAAGAACTTTTATGGAACTAGATCTTCCTAAGCCCTGGGCTGACATCACAATCTTATGCAATGTTTTGTACTGTAGATGCACACAACTCACACTGAGAGTCTGGGAGGTGTAAAGAATGGGTTACAAAGTGGTGATTGTTGACATCAAAGAGGGAACAATGGCCAGTATATATATGTCGTCATATGATATATATATATGTAGTATACTATATGTATATGTATATATATATGTATGTATATCAATATGATGAATATCGTATATTATGTTATATTATATGTATATATGATATATATGTAGTTTATATATGTGTATATATATATATGTGTGTATATATTTATATATTTGTAGGTATAACCTCCATGAGAGACATACCAGATGCCATCTTTGAAATGAGCCAAACATTACATCACAAAGCAGTTGGCAACCTTTTTTCATGTAGAAAGAAACTTTTTGTATCGTAAGAAAGAGTCCGCTCGCTGAAAAACCTTTTGTTGCACATTAGCTTTTTTAAATCTCCAAAGTTCAGATGGAAATTGTTTTCTCAGTCCTTTAATCCTTAAGGATTACTGGAAAACATACCTAAAAGAGTAGGTACTCATTGAGAAAACAAACACGGGTCTGTCAGTGTTACATTTTGTATTGAATATAATACAGTTTATGCAATAATAAAAAGCCATGCAACAAATGTTACTCAACTGATATCTGCTGGATGCTTCATTTCCATACTGCAAATCTTTTCTGTGAACTCCGGATTATACTAGTAAAAAATATATGAACGAATACAGTTTAAAAAGTAAAGTTTTCCTTTATAAATGTAACACAGTGAAAGTATAAAACAGAATAAAATATAAAAGTAAAAAAAAAGGATTACAGTATTTTACCTTAGTAAAACATTCAAGAAGCTTATTTTCACCACTGAAAAGTATATGAAAGTTATAGATCATTTAAGCATGACGAGAGGGCTGAAACAACTCCTGCAAAATAATCACCATGTTTACATGCAAACATGTTGGTGTGCAGCGCCACATTGCTGGATGTAAACTGTCTCCTTTCTGTTAAAAGCCTTGAGGGGAGTTCTGTGCTCTCTGGATTCAAAGGATTGGGTGACAAAGCAGACGCTAGGCCATAAATAAATCTTCTGCAGAAAAATGTCTCAGAGGGCATTGCACAGGACGAGGCAATTACATAATTACACTTTGGTGAGATCTTTTGGGACCAAAAACAGCCAGTGGCTTGGGAATGTCTGCTGCTGTACCTTTTTTTTTTTTTCCAGCTTTTCAGGCTTGCATGATACCCTCCCACCTGGCCTTTTTGACACTCATGATACGAGTTGGTTTCATTATTTCCCCGATCAATGTTGTTATTTTGCATTAAAAGTGCCAAAAAAGAACTGCTAGCAGCTGTGAATGTAATGATACTCAACACTTTTGCTATTGTCTTTTGAGTTAATAATAGCTGTTATTTCCCATTTTTTGTGTTAATTACTCGCACTTTTCAATAAATCACAGCTTTGTAGTGGATGTACAATATTTGTCAGCAACATCGGTTTAGTTGTTCAAGCCAGCCATTTACTTGGGAGAAGCTTAATCCATTAAGGCATGTAGACGAGGTCAAGGGTACCTGAATGGGGAAAAAAGGTTATTTTAAGCTACAATGATGATGAAGGGTGAGCCCTTTCAGAAACTACTGATCTACTGGGATTTCAGTGCGCAATCATCTGTGGGATTTTCAGAGAACTGCCCAAATAGAAAAACAAAAATGCGGTTAGCGGTGGTTCTGTGATCTGATGAGCATAAACAATCCGGTCGTTAAGTGATGACTTGACGAATCCTACTTCCGGGCCTAAAGTAGTCTGCGTTTAATATGGCTTTTGTGTTGTTAACATGTTTAATGTTTTGTATTTTCTTCTATTTAATCTCAAAAAGCTCCTAAAACAGTCAGTGATCACTGTTGACCTCCCTCGGCTTTTATTACCGCTAATCATTTATTTAAGCTCAGTTTTTAAAACCTTAGGATGTAACTACAGCCCAGCCCATGCAGCAGTATATGAATGACTAACCTCGTATTGTGGATGGATTATCTCAGTTGTTCTCCTGGCTGAAGTTTGGTCCTTTTACAGCATCCTGCCATGCGATTACATTTGTTCCTGACCACCGAGAACACTCACGTTAACTTTTATCGAGTGGAAAAAAAGTTAGCTTGTTTATATTATGCTAACATAGCTGTGTCGCTAGCGGTCACGTAGCACATCATTATATACCAGCTAGCCCAACTTCAGTAACCCTACAAACGTCACTGCTGTTTAGTTTTCTGTCTTCATTTATGTTG